GGGGGTGCATCGCTGTCCCTGCAGTTGCCCCGCCCCGCCACGGACCCCATTCCTGCACAAGCTTGGACTTAACAGCTGACAACTCTTGATGGGCTTTTTTCTTTCTTTCTGCTCATGTGACGTTCTGCATGAGACCCTGTTGGGGGCCCAGTGGTGGCGGTCACATGATCCCTTTGTGAGGGGCTTGCTTTATGTTTCTAAATCTCTCTGTAATGGGTGTGAGTTCCATAGCACATTACTTTACAAAAGTGTGCATACAGAGCTGATGTCCTTCTCTTTTCCCATGGACCTTTGCTGTTGCTGACCTTCTCCATTGCACCCCTCGCTCCTTTTAAAGACATCGGCTGCCGTGGGCAGGATGATGCTCGCTGGCTCCCCCTGCTGTCTGCTAACTCCGACTCTGGGCTCGGGTTGCTCTATCCTGTTTAATCCCCGCTGAAGGCACCTCCGCACCTTTTGTCATGGCCAGATGCCCCCTTCCCTCTCCCCCGGTACAGGGCCGTAAACAGGAAGCTTGTTCTGACTCCGATTTCTGTCTTTACCTTCACAGAGAGAGTTCCCCAAGTTTTTTACCTTCAGAGCCAGGGACAAGGTGAGTGTCATTCTCTGTTCTGCCACTAGGGGGCAACACACGCTTTGGCAGATATACTATGCGATAGTGTCTGGATCATCGTGACTGACTGGAATACCATTTGCTGTAAAACAAACAGATGAACGGAGGGACGGATGGACGAGTGGAACTATTTCAGGTCTTATGATCAATGAGGACATTCTACCCCCTAACCCCCCCCCCCACCACAAGCTTGTACCACTGAAACTCATTACAGTAACGAGCCCTGGTAATTAAAGGGCCCTCTTTTAATTATAATCACCCTGAGGGCAAGGTCACCCATTAATGAAATCTGAGCATCATTTATTTCAATTTGTCCGGTCTTCTAACTGTGGGGCGGTTTTGTGGAACTTGGAGAACATCCAAGTGTTAAGACCTGTGCCTTAGACCATGGCTCATTGCCAGTTTTAACCTGGTACTGGGTGTTAAATTGGTACTGGGTACTAACTTGGTATTGGGTATTAAATTGACCCTGGGCACTAATTTGGAACTGGACACCATCTCTACAGGGTGTTAACCTGGGTATTAACTTACCAGAGTTTGTGGTGAAAGCAGACGGGTCTCAGGTGTGGTTACAAAGATAGGGATGCAGCTGAGGCGGTGTTCCTTGCAGTTCGAGGAGGATCGCATTTACCGGCACCTGGAGCCAGCGCTGGCCTTCCAGCTGGAGCTGAACCGCATGAGGAACTTCGCCCTCACCGCCATCCCCTGCGCCAACCACAAGATGCACCTGTACCTGGGCGCTGCCCGTGTGGAGGTGGGCGCAGAAGTCACAGATTACCGCTTCTTTGTACGGGCAATCATCCGCCACTCGGACCTGGTCACCAAGGTGAGTCATCCCAACTAGGTTGACCCCGTCCATCCCAACTACTGTAACTGTAACCCACGGACGACCCGTCAAACTGATGGCTAGCCTGATTCTCTGACCCACCTCCCTCCTCCATATCTTGCACACCTTCTCAGGAGGCTTCGTTCGAGTACCTTCACAACGAGGCAGAGCGCCTCCTGCTGGAGGCCATGGATGAGCTGGAGGTGGCCTTCAACAACACCACGGTCCGCACGGACTGTAACCACATCTTTCTCAACTTTGTGCCCACGGTCATCATGGACCCCTCCAAGGTAGGACCGCTCCTCTTGGGCACCCTCGGACATCCTGCACCCCCCCCCCCTCAGGCGTAGCTGATACCCGCACCTGTGTGCCCCCACAGATAGAGGAGTCTGTCCGCTCCATGGTGATGCGTTACGGCAGCCGGCTGTGGAAGCTGCGGGTGCTGCAGGCCGAGCTGAAGATCAACATCCGGCTGACGCCCACGGGACGGCAGATTCCCATCCGCCTCTTCCTCACCAACGAGTCGGGCTACTACCTAGACATCAGCCTCTACAAGGAGGTCACGGACTCGCAAACGGCCCAGGTGTGCTTCCCGATCTCTCTCGAGTCACACCTCCCAGCATGCACCGCTCTAACCCACCCTGAGACTGCCTGGGGTCGGTCTGCTGGTATCGCCGCAGGGGTGGGTCTAGCCACATCCATCCTATTTTGACATAATAGCAGATGCCTTCTGTGACTTGGGTGATGGCCCGTGTCACCTGCTCATTCACCTGAATAAGAGGGTTGCTTTAAAAAATAATAATAATAATGGCAGTGTAAAGGGGCGGAGCTTCAGTGGTTTCGGTATTGCCGTCCATGGTTACGCCGACCTGCGCAGCCCTGTGGGTTAGATGGAGCATACTGAGGGCCTGCTTCAGGGGTCTCCAACGCCGATCCTGGAGAGCTACTGTTCAGTAGGTTTTCTATCCTCTCTGGCTTCTGATGAGCCACAGCTGTTCTCAGGTAAATACCAGGGCCAGGTTAGAAAGGATAGAAAACCTACCGGAGAGCAGCTCTCCAGGACCGGAATTGGAGACCCTCACCAACCTCTTATTTCAGGCTCTTCTGATTCCTCCCCAAGGTCATTGACTCTTCCCCTTGGTCTTTGACTTTTACTTTTAGTTTTTTTGACCCCTCCCTTTGGCTGTTAGTCCCTCCCCCTTTGGTCTTTGACGACTTCACTCTTTGGTCATTAGTCCCCCCTTTGGTCTTTGACCCCTCCCCCTTTGGTCTTTGACCCCTCCCCCTTTGGTCTTTGACCCCTCCCCCTTTGGTCTTTGACCATTCCCCCTTTGGTCTTTGACCACTCCCCCTTTGGTCTTTGACCCCTCGCCCATCTCCCCGCAGATCATGTTTCAGGCGTATGGGGACAAGCAGGGCCCCCTGCACGGCATGCTCATCAACACGCCCTACGTCACCAAGGACCTGCTGCAGTCCAAGCGCTTCCAGGCCCAGTCGCTGGGTACCACCTACGTCTATGACTTCCCGGAGATGTTCCGGCAGGTGGGCAGCCGGGTGGCCCCTCCCAGCATGCCCTGGGGCTCAGTCTCCCCTCATCCTTTCGGTTTTAATTTCGTCTCCCCTGTTTAATTCCAGTGTATTTTTGGCCTTCGCTTTTTAAAATATTTATATTTTAATACAATTTTGGCTGTAGAAATAATATCCCGCTCCACCCTCCCCAGGCTCTGAAGAAACTGTGGCAATCCATGGACACCTACGCTCATCTGCCCCCCTGCCCCCAGCCTTCGGACCTGCTTACCTTCCAGGAGCTGGTGCTGGATCCCCAGGGGCAGCTGGTGCACATGAACCGCCTACCGGGGGGGAATGAGGTGAGGGGGGTGAGAAAAGATATCCACGTTGCTTTCAGGAGGGAATGAGATGTGGTGTGCTAACCGCCCCCCCCCCTGTGTACGCTCTTTCCCCGTCAGATCGGCATGGTAGCCTGGTGCATGACCCTGCGCACCCCCGAGTACCCGGCGGGCCGTGACATCATCGTCATCGCCAACGACATCACGCACAAGATTGGCTCGTTCGGGCCGCAGGAGGACGCCCTCTTCCAGCAGGCGTCGGCGCTGTCCCGCGAGCGCGGCGTGCCGCGCATCTACGTGGCGGCCAACAGCGGGGCCCGCATCGGCTTGGCGGAGGAGATCCGGCACATGTTCCATGTGGCCTGGCAGGACCCCAGCGACCCCTACAAGGTGAGGAGTCTGTGTAAGGGTCGGGGCCCGGGGCCCGTCTATGCTGGGGCCTCTCGGTTAAACAGAGGGCCTTGCTGCTGTCTAGCCTCTGGACCTCTGGCTGACCTTCCCCCCCCCCCACTGTGATTTTATCTGATTTTGCAGGGGTTTAAGTACCTGTACCTGACTCCCCAAGACTATAAGAAGGTGTCTGCCCTGAACTCTGTCCACTGCGAGCACGTGGAGGATGAGGGCGAGTCCAGGTGAGCCCCCCCCCCCCCCCCGGGGCCGGCCATGATGCCCCCCACCCCAACAGTGGGAACAGCCCCCTCCCCACAGCTGTCACACCCATGGCTGAGTGAATGCAGCTCTGTTAAGATCCCGCGTCTTAATCAACTGCCCCCCCCCCCCCCCCCCCCCATCCCCTCGACCGCAGGTACAAGATCACTGACATCATCGGGAAGGAGGAGGGGCTCGGTGTGGAGAATTTGCGTGGATCTGGGATGATCGCAGGAGAGTCTTCGCTGGCCTATGAAGAGGTCATCACCATGAACCTGGTGAGCTCACTGCCACTCCGTCCCTCCCTCACGCACGCACGCGTATCTCTGCCACTCCGCCTCTCCCTCACGCACGCACGCGTATCTCTGTCTCTCCCTCACGCACACACGCGTATCTCTGTCTCTCCCTCACGCACACACGCGTATCTCTGTCCCTCCCTCACGCACACACGCGTATCTCCGTCTCTCCCTCCCTCACGCACGCACACACGCGTATCTCTGTCTCTCCCTCACGCACACACGCGTATCTCTGTCTCTCCCTCACGCACGCACGCGCACGCACGAGCATCTTATTTCCTCATACCCATGGATCGCCGCCTCTCCCTCTGTCTGTTGTGCCCAGGTCACCTGCAGGGCCATCGGCATCGGAGCTTACCTTGTGAGGCTGGGGCAGAGAACCATTCAGGTGGAGAACTCCCACATCATCCTGACGGGGGCTGGGGCTCTCAACAAGGTCAGTGCTGGGGCTCGCTGGGTCCCTGGTGGAAGGTTTTATGCAGGTTTGTTACTGCACACTGTCCACTTCCTGGTTGATTGTGGCCCTCTGAGTAGCTCAGAGTGTCATGGGATTCTCTGGAAAGATGCAGCTGACCTGAAGTTTGGGTTGTCATGGAGACATGATGATGCAACCAGGCTAAGAATCAGTTTGTCTGTAATGTGCCAGCTGGGACATCTCATGGATTATTTGTGTGAAACTTCATTTATCACCTAATTATCCAGTGGTGTAAACCCTGAGTGTGCCTGTGTTTAAAGTACGTGAGGAATCGGTAAATTATCCACGCTCCCTAAGCCCAGGGACTGTATGCAAATGGTACAGTTTCTATTTGTCCTTCTCGTGTGTGTGTGTGTGTGTGTGTGTGTGTGTGTGTGTGTGTGTGGAGGAGGGCCTCAGCTATCGTTTCCATGCCT